GGGACTATGTCATTTTCTTAATGAAAAAATATAGTATATATCATCTAATTATGTTTACGTAAATAAAAATTAATCTTTTGAAGGCAAAAATTAATAAATATTTATAACATTGATTTTTGTTTGTATCAATAAATATATACTTAATATATACTATAACATATTGTAGGCACAAATAATCTACAGTGCAGTACAAAATTGAAATATGAAAACGCAGGTCATACTGTAAACATAAATGATTCACAGTACAATGAAGGATTAGAATATGAAGACACTTACGAATTTGAGGTACATATATATTTAAAATATTTACTTAATATATCGAATATTTTAAATATTATTATAGAGAAACTATTGTTTTAAAATATTTGTATTTGTCACAGATACTTGAAGATGAGAATTTAAATAACTCAATAACTTGGAACGAATGGACACCAGCCAAGCTGAGCTCTGAAAAGAGTAAAGAATTGCAGTTTCCAAACAATCATAAAAATGAAGATTCGTTAACATTAGACGATATTGAAACAGTCGTTGCACAATCCTCTAAAGAAAACTGCAATCCATTAACAAATAGCTCATCATCAAATAGTTCACGATTTAATGTAAAGGGTAAAAGATCAAAACAGCTGAAAACAAAAGCTACCAAAGGAAATGAAGAATTAAATAATTTGACACAATCCAAATTGGAATTAGTGGAATTAATGAAGGAAGATATTCGTAAAAAATCAGCAATAGAAATATCAATTTTTGAAATGCTATTAGAAAAAGAAAAACTTAATGTTGAAATTCTTAAAAAACAACTAAAATCTTATAAAACATAAAAATAAATAAAATCGTTCCTCTCTTTCTTTATTTTTTAATTTTATTAATTCCAAATTGGATCATATATATGCAACATGTTTTTATGTTAAAAAATTTATTTGTGTATTCATTGAAACTGTTCTGTTATTTTAGTTAATTCATGTTGAAATTCTTAAAAAACAGTTAAAATCTTTATGATCATAAAGATAAATAAAATCGTTTTTTTTTTCTTTAATTCTATTAGTTCCAATTTGGATCATTATTCAACATGTTTAATATTAAAAAATTTATTTATGTATTTGTTGAACTGTTCTGTTCTGTTATTTTAGTTAACACCAAGTGTACTAAGTACTTTATATGAAATGTAAATTATTATTTTGAAGTACCAAAGAAAGCAAATAACATAAGTAAAATATATTAAAACAGAAATTTATTTTTTATTATCGTACATATGTAATATTTGAAAGTGTGAATATTAAAAGAAATATTTACATATACTTATGGACATAAAATATATTTACACATACATATGTAAAATAAAAATATTTTATAATATAAATTTTTGTACATTTTTTTTTAATGATATTTGGATAGTTCAATTTACTGTAAAGAAATATTATAATAGTCCTCTATTTCATATAATCGAGTCGCATAAAATGCAGCATTTTATAACACAATCCTTTCATCTCTGTCAATCATAACACATAATCCTTTCATCTCTGCTAACATAAATTAAATTTCTGCAAGGACTACATTTATTTTATAGGCAAAACCGGTTGTTCTATATTAAACTGAAAAAAAATGTAATATGTTAAAATAATACTTTTATTTATTAAGGAGCTTTTAAGAAGTAAATTAATAATTACAAAATAATAATTTTCGCAAGCAATGAAAATTAATAAATAATTTATTATTTTAGTCTTTGCAAAATAGAACTTTACATTAATTTCATTTCACAGTTTTAGAATATAATAACTGATATTTTTTTTTCAAATGTAAGTTATCTATATTATCCAATTTCAATTTTCATATTCTTTATTTACAATAAAACCAAATGTTAATTTTGACAATATTTGTTATTATGATTTAATATTTTAATTTCTTCTCTTACATTTAATAATAAAATATTGAACTATTAAGATCATAAAAGTATATACTATTTGTATAGATATATAATTTGCGATAAAATTTTTCTCTTACCTTTGAAAATAATCGTTGATTAATAGCTGCTGTATGTTATTTTGTACATTATCTCTGCAAGGTATACGTATATTTCCATTTTGTAAAATATTTTCCCATGGTGCAGGCAATTGTAATGTTAAATCATCTGGTGGTAATAAATCTCCAGCACGCCGAGCAATATTATGCAACACAGCAGTTGCAACAATTACAGGTAATACATTATCCACTTTTTGAAATCGAGACCCAAGCGCTAAAACAGGAAATCTTCTTTTCCATATTCCGAATACACGCTCGATAGTATTGCGTGTTCGTATATGTGATTCATTATACAATTGCTCCGCTCGAGTTCGTGGATTTTGCAATGGAGTCATAAAATATGAACGAAGAGAATAACCACCATCTCCTAACAATAAGGAATTTCCAAACATTCCAGCTTCGAATAAAGCACGTATTCTAGAATTGTTAAATATTGTAGCATCGTGTACTGAACCTTGCCATCGAGCTACAATATCAGTTATTTCTAAATTTGCATTGCATATTGCTTGCACATTTATAGAAAAATATCCTTTTCTATTCCTATAATATTCAGCATCGTTTCCACCTGAAATTAAATAAATGCAAATAAAATTAAATAATATAAGTTAATAACTTTATTATAAACATATTATTCTTTAAGATATTAAATTTTACTCACCGAATGACTGTTATTTTTATATGAGTACAATCAACACAACCTATTACCCTTGGAAATCGTGCAATATACAAAAAATTTGATTTGCTTCTTTTCTTTATTTCCTCGGCAAGCACAGGAAACTTTATGAATCTTGGTCGAAGACGAGCAATAGCTTTGGTCACCCGATGAACTATTCTGTGAGCACTTGTTTTACTTACGCCAGAAAAATCTGCTGCTAATAATAAATGACTTCCAGTTGCATAAAATCTTAATGTTAGGAGCAGCTGCGTCATTGGAGATATAGCGTTGTTTCTAGTAAACCAAAAAAAATAATTTTACTATAACTTGTATTAATTATTTCACTACTTGTTTGTTTTATAGCAATGAAGATATAAAAAAAATAATGAATATAATTGCGAATAATTGTGATTAATAGTAAATAATCAATTATATAATATTGATTTCGTTAAACTTTTTACTTTTATGTTATTGTTACTCCTGTTATAACAATAATTTCTATCTAATTGTAAGTACAATATTTTATATTATTTTATAATATTTTAAGTCACAACTTTACTTACTGTTCTGTTTTACAAGAAATTTCTTGTTCGATTTCTCTTAACACTATATTAACAGATTCTTTACTTAATCGAAATCGAGCATGAAAATCCACATCATCAAATTCTTCAAAATATGGTGGTCGTCTTTTTATTTTTCTTGGTCGTCGATTAATCACAAAATCTTCATCACATTCTTCGTCAGATGAAGATAATACGTATGCTAGAGCCATAGCCATACTTCTCACCAAAAGAATATTCCTCACTTACAATATTGCAATACTACATAACCTCAAAAGAACTGGATAGTCGATAACTTTTGATATTGAAATCAATCGTACCATATAAACTTCGTTTAAATTCGATAAACGTCCAAAATTTAGCGTTTAATTTTTACCGCAGATTATCGACATTAACCGAAGCTAAAGGCAGTTGTGGAATGCAACATTTTCTTTAAACAGGGTTTAACGACTTAAACTCTAGTTAAAGCAAGTTGTGGAACTGGGCCTTAATCTTTAATGTGTAGCCTGATACAGGCATAAGGGCCATTCTACAATTAGTCGCAAATGCCCCGTCGCCAGTCACGAATACTCCATCTTACAAGAAATAACCAAAAATAACACTTTTTAATTAGTAGTTGCCATCTTTCGCGCCATTTTTCGTTGCCGTGCGACACTCGCTTAGCACACCTTTAGCCAAAGAGAAATACAGGTCGAAGAAATGTCTATTAGATGTTTATTAGACGTTTCTTCGACCTGTATATCTCCTTGGGTAGAGCATACATTTTACAGTCAAGCTACAACGTGAAACGCGCGCTTATTTGTCAATTCTTTTTAATTAAATTCTCCATAATTATTGTGAAAATTGCAAAATGATAAAGAACTTTTCAGTTTAGTTTACAGTACTCTATCCGCTTACGAGCGTTGTCGTGGTTATTCTAAGACATCCTGTATAAATAAATTTCTTACTGATATGAAATTCATCAAATAATTTTAAATTATAAAGCATAAAGGTATTTTTTGAAATATACCCATACAGCACAAAACATCCTCAGGATATCCTCAGGATATCGAGGATATTTCGGTGTCCCAAGGATGTTCTGAGGACATCGAGATCTCCCCAAGATGTCCTAAGGATATGTAGGATAGTTTGTGCTGTATGGGTAAACTCTACAATATTTATGATCATAATTATGGTAACCTGTTATATACAATAATTACTCGTAATCTATTGTTGTACTTGAAGAAAGTTAAGAAATTTTGGACACAATATATACTTACGAGTTTTACTCTTTACATTTAAATGTTTTTGATGCACGAATACATCATATATAGTTCCGATTATCATCACGCAAATAGTAAGCATTAAAATAACACTGCAATAAAAAATTAATATTTAGGATATATATATAAACACATATAGGTATATGACTTTTTATTTTTTGACGAACCTGGTTAGAGATATCGCGCCGCTAAATTGATCGTCTTTTAGATCTTTAACTTCGATCAATCTGAAATCCATGGAATAAAGATTACCAATCAAGAGAAGTCTATCTTGAAATATTCTCTCCAGAATAAAGCTTAGGTCATCTGTGGAACATGATGCTGGTAAACAGTGGCCAAGTACAATTAAATCCTGAAAAGCAATTCTGTTTACATATTGTAACATTGTAATATCTCAAATATATGTTACTATTCTATTTCAATAAATTGATTTAAAATTTGATATGTTCTATGCGATTTCTTACTTTATAAAGATCTGTCAACTTACTTTGTTTGGTAAATTTACGTGGTACTGAAGAGTACTATTGTGTTTAAAGTAAGCAACAAAGTAATTAATTTTGAAAGGTGGATACTCTTTTTGTGGATCACGGTATAGTGAATTATTTAATAAATATTGTTTCGACAGTTCCCAAGGATATCTATTCATTGTATCGTAACACTGACTGCGACTGCCTAGCCAATAATTATTTCCATAAAGAAAGCCTGATTTAGGTTCACCGCTAGAATCTAGCACTTAAAGATAAAAAATAAACAATTATTATTTAAACAAAATATAATATAGTACTTTTTAATGATTATTAATTAACGACTAATAATTATTAAAATAAATATTATTATTTTTTGCAATTTTATATTGAGGTGGATTTCATATGATCCAAACAAACACAGATATATAACTATTATATTGTCATAATATAACACAATGTAATATACAATATAACGTACGTCCGAACAACATATACCGAGCAAACACAGAACATTGCAGCAACATTGTGGCAATGTTGCAATATTGTAGCAACATTACAGCAATATTGCAAACATCGCCGCAATGTTTTGTGTTTACTAAGAAAATATCAACGGAAATGTTACACAAAACCTGCTGACATAATTTGACATAATTTGATCAGTAGCAGAAACCGAGCAGGATTTGCTCGGAATTATTACAGCAGATTGGCGGCAGAAATCGAGCAAAATCTGCGCAGTGCAATTTGATGTTGCTTGCCGCTATGCGGCGTATTTCTTCATATATAAACTCGTACTCAAGATTTATCTACAGTGCATATAAAGTGTGGCCAGTGGCTTAATTAAGCTTATCAGTTTAATACAATAATCTGATGCAATCCTCATAGGAGATTCAGAATGTTAAACTAATTTTTGAAATTGAAAATCCGCTATGAGTAGACCCGATATTCCTGATAGAAATATTTTTCTGAAAATATAACGAAATTTTGCTGAAATGTATTTGGAAATTTTTCTTAATTGACCCCATTAATTAATTTCATAAATATTTTAGCAATTTTTCATTAAAAAGTAACAGTTTTCAGTTTAATTCAGTAAACTTTATAATGTCTAATATTTCAAAACTCTTTTATTACTTTTCAGCAGTATATTTTAACTTTCCTTATATTTCATCATATCATTGCGGCAATGTTACAATATTGCAATAATATTGCTGCAATGTTGCAACATTGCCACAATGTTGCTGCTATGTTCTGTGTTTGCTGGGATAGTATTACATTAAATTTTCATACTGAAAATTTTGATTTATTTTGAAATATATTCAGTAATTTTTCAAAAACTTTTATTTTACTTTTCATTGATTTCATAGTACTTTTAGCAAAATATTTCCATCAGGGTTGGCCTAATAAATTTATTAAAACATAAGTATTTTTTTTGTCCCAATAAAGCAAATATATATTATATACTTTGCATACTCATTTACTACTTTTAGGGCCACGTTTTCCAACGTCGGTTAAGTCTAACCGTCCGTTAACTTTTCAGAATAACCAACTTAAAACTCGAAACTTGTATACGTCGTCAATCCTAAAATCTCAGTATATTGATAAAAAATGTATAGAACTTCTGTTTTCGGTGCGTTAGAGTGTGACACGTGGAGCGGAGAAAATTTTTTGGGTGACTTGGGAAGCAAGAGGAGAGAAGAAAGAAGGGTGAGAGTGAATGGAGGAGAGAGTGGAGGTGAGAGAGAGTGTGTGTGAGTGAAGGGAGTGCAGGGCGGAACAGGGGGAAGGAGAAAGGGCAAGGGAAAAGACGACGGTTAAATAGACATAGAATATAGGACATAGAAACGGGTACAAACGGAATTAGGAAAGAGAGCAAAGAATAGAGAGAGCATAGAAGGTAATAGGAGTGGGTGACTGGTAGCGACATAGCGGGATGGAAAGAAAGTGGGAAATGGCGGAAGGAATAAGAGAAGCGAGAAGGGGGAGAGTAAGATGTGGAAGCCATGGGTGCATAGAGGAGATGTGGAAGAGGAAGAGAGAGGAGGCATGAAAAAAGGGGGAAGAGGAAAAGAAAGAAATATTTATTAAAAGTAAAAAAACGACAAGATTGCCGGAAAAAAAGAAAGAAAAGAAAGAAGGGGAACAGAGAGAGTATATTGGAGAGAGGAGAGGAGGAGATGAGGAAATAGAAAGAGGAGATGGAGGGAGTGATGAAGGAGGTAATGAGGATGAGGTTGGAGGATTGGAAAGAGGAAATGAGACAAATGAAGGAGGAAATAAAAGAGGGAATAAAAAGATATAAGGAAGGAAATAAGGGAGATGAGAGATAGGGAGGAAAGATGGATGGAGGAGAGAGAGGAAATGAAAAGGTAAATAAAGGGATTAAAGAGGAGAATGGAGGAAATGCAGAAAGACGGAGAAGAGAAGAGGGGGGAAAAAGGAAAGAAGAGAAAAAAGAAGGAGAAAAATGGAATTGAGAGTGAAAGAAATAGAAAGAAGAATGGAAAGGAAAGAGAGGGAGGAGAGGAGAAGGAATCTGTTAATAAAAGGGATAGAAGTGAAGGAAGGGAAAAGGAAAGAAGCGATAGAGGGGCTAATGAAAGACATAGGAATGGAAATAAAAATAGAGGAGACATGGAGGGTAGCGGAGGACAGAAAGAAGGGAAGAGAGATAGTGGGGATAAGAATAGATAATGAGGAGAAAAGAAGGGAGATATGGGAGAAGAAAAAGATGCTTAAGGGTAAAAAGAAAAAGATAATAGAGTGAAACCGTGTGAGCTTTTCGAGCGCGGTATAGCTCATCGGAATCCAGGTTCGGACGGTTGGGGGTGTATCAAAGAAAATATGCGTTTGGTTAATGATAAATCAGAAGACGTGTTTATTCAATTAAGTATGTTTGATGACTGTGTGTGTACATGCGATGTGAAAGAATATACAAGCGACGGTGAAATGATTATTAAGGACTACAACGGCTGAATAATTATTTGAGCAGCGTGGAATAAATATAAAAGTATATATCGGTGAAGTCAGTATAGCAACGGTGAAATAAGTAGCAGAATATCGGTGCGATCGGTAGAGTAACCACGGTGAAATAATTATTTGGCAACGGCGAAATAATTCTTGAAGCGGCGTGAAATAAGTTTTACAAGTAGCGTGAAAATAAATATAAAGACGATGGTAAATAAATTGAGAGTGACGGCGAAAGAATTATTTAAGCGGAAGAAATAAATGTAAAGGCAACGGTGAAACAACTACAAGGCGACGGTAAAATAATTCTTTAGGCAACGGAGGAACAATTATTTATGCGAAACTATAAAGTATGACGTGAGGCGTCCTGATGCGGTCGGCGAGAGCGCAAGCGCGGGCGATCGTGTCGCAACGGTTGGTACAAGACGGAGCGCTTGTCGGTGAGTGCGTTCGTAGGGTATCGTGAGTCCGTTCGATCGTAGATCGATGCGGACTATTCGGCGGCGCGGATTGGTCGACGCGGTTTTGCCTGTCGGACGGATTACGGTTTGAAATCCCGGCGAATAAACGCGATATAAGGACTTAGGCAGCCGATTACGCTCGGCGGGAGTACGAATATACTCGTATGCGGGAGTCAAGAATACCGAGGACGCTCGGCGGTACACGAGGATACTCGTGTGCTGGAACAGGTATAGAAACCGAGTATGCTCGGTTTGGACTACGAGAACACTCGTAGAGTGATTGTTCGCTGTCTATCAGCGAACGGGATCTGGTGAGAAGACGTACAGCCGAGCCTCTTTTATACCCGGCTGACAGCCGAATGGTTTCGAATCGGCAAGCATTGGCGGTTTCGGCGGCGAGTCCCCCACAAAACGGAATTTCGGAACGGTCGGGTGTGGGGGATTTTCGGCGGTTGACCGCCGTTGTTACGATAAGAAATTTATCGGCGCTCGATGCGCCCTTGGTGGGCTACGGACGATGGACGGTCCGTAGCCGTAACGATGCAGCTTGCGGGCTGCACCGTTACAAGAAGACTGGACATCGAAGGAAAGGAGGATGAAATGGAAATTGGAGGAGATGGCCAGGGAAGAGGAAAGGAAGGGAAAAAATACATGGGTAGGATATGGAAGAATAAGAATAAATGGACAGTGGTGGAAGTGGGATGGGGAGGAGGAGGTGCTAAGGGATGGAAAAGGTAACATAAAAGTAGGAGGACGGTGAGAAGGGGGGAGGGAGAAGGAGGGGAACACAGGATAGAGAAGAGAAGGGAGAAGAATAAAAAGGAGAAGCGGGAGGAAGGAAAAAAGAAGGAGTGGAGAATAGGTTTCTGGAATGTGGCAAGAGTGGGGAATAAAGATAGAAAATTTTGGGAGGGTTTAAAGAATTGGGAGGTGATGGTATTAATAGAAACATGGATGGACAAAAAGGGGTG